ACTGGCCGGTGACTGGCCGGTGACTGGCCTTTATCTGGCCATTGGCCAATGGCCACTGGCCATCAGCCATCGGCCAAGCATTGGCCATTGAATGGCCACTCTCTGGCCACTGGCCAAAAGATCATCGCCAGACATTGGCCATTGTTTGGCCAAAATCTGTGCTGCTTGGGTCACCAGCAAACAAGACAGAAAGCATGTCAAAAATGCATCCGTGCGCAGAAGTCTAATAAATCCCCACATTAAAGTTAAAAAATACATACAAGAACACTACTAGATAAATGTCATCTTCCCAAAAAGCAGTAAGCAATGAAGAAAATGCTCAAAACCGGTCAGGAAAAGCAGTTCATCGTGAGCACAGGGCATTATAAGAGACCAAAGTGGAAGTCAACTCCTGCAGGGATGTAGACGTTATCGCATAGTATAAAAGGCATTGGGGTTTAAGGACAGCGAGGGCAAAAATAGACATTGGCAAGGTCGAGATAACCAGGCAGAGGTTATCTGATTGCTGGCATCAGTTGTAGGTATAATAAACATTCTTTTACTCATAAAGTTATTCTAATGTACGGTAGAGGTTTAACTGGCACTCGTGTCTATAGTACTTCTGGTTTCAAATAGACCATCTGCTATATCCCCCAAGCGCCCTGGCCCGCTCTAAAAGAAATATGGGAACGGTGTTCCTTCAACTCCTTAGTGATTGGTAATTTCGACCCTATCCTCGATTTCATAGCTTTTGAGCGTAATTCGGAGTCACCCTGAACGACCGCCTGACATACCCCAATAACCTGTCTTGTAGGATTTAAAATTTCTCCTCAATGTCAGCGTTTTTGATACTGTGCATGCTGTCCACCCTTCAACCTGGATGGGCTGCAGAAATCTCTTACCACTATTATCATTCTCGTAGAGCTTCAAAGCTCATATGAAGTTAGAAACGCTAAAAATGCTATAAACAGCCTTGCGGTTTTTGTTGTTGGGAATTCTCGGTTTTTTAACCAATTCCTGCTAAAACAACAATCACGAGAATGATAATAGTGTAAGAGATTTCTGCAGCCCATCCAGATTGGAGGGTGGACAGCATGCACAGTATCAAAAATGCTGACATTGACAGGAAATTCTAAAAGTGATATGACAGGTCCATGGGGTATATCAGGCGCTTGTTCAGGGTGGCTCCGAATTACGCTCAAAAACTGTGTAACCATAGAATAGGTCAAAATTAGCGATCACTAGGGAGCTGAAGGAACACCGCTCCCATGATTCCTCGAGTGCGGGCCGGGGCGCTTGGCAATATTGCAAATGGTCTATTGAAGCAGACATCAATCAGTCCACTATTGTGGTGGTCCTGAGCATTTGTATGGGAAAAGGCGTGTGCATTTTGTCTTTTTGCCGGAGAATAACTGGACATACCTTTGTTACTTTCGTTGCAGGGAATAGCAGGTAACTTATTAACATTATAAACGTGGAATTGCTTCAGTATTTTTCTGATCAGTGACCTATGTTCCACAGCAAATGTGTAAAGACAAGCGACGAATATAAGCATAACGGTTCAGAAGAACGTAGGGCATGTTCAAGGAGCACCAACATCCCAATGATGCGAATATCAATAACCTGAGAGATTTATATGCCGCTAAAGTGACTTCCCTTTATGAGCAGTGAAACGCGTAAAACTGTAGAAGTACACAGACTATAAAAGCTGTTTCCCTCTTTAGTATTGCGCCGATTTTACCGGGCAATAAGAGTTTTCTGGCTTTTCCCCATTTTAAGAGTTTTAGAGTATGCAGCTTTTATGTTTTGAACACTAGACCAAACTTACCTTTGAACCCATAAAGAGCAGAGCGAATAAAACAATTGCTATTTATCGAAACATGCACTCATTACTTGACTTTCACTTTATATTGCTTGTCTACATGCATGGGTATAGGTACTGATCCAGCGTTAGTGCATAGTTCTTGACGTCTCCCTCGATTTTTTAGACATTCTTCATTGCTTTGGCACGTAAACCCCAACGTAGAAAAGCGCCGATGCTGCATTCACGCCGACGGTGTTGGACAGTGTACATAAACGCACATACCAAGCTATTTTTGCACGATATCTAAAGCCATTAATTTGAAAACCTAAAACAAAAGAACCATAACTTATCAAAATTTTGATCTACACGACGGAGAAATGTTTTGAGCTATTACAGAATAATACTTCATAATATTTGCTTTATAACCAAATGCAGAAACAAAATGCACCCATCTTTTGCCACAGAAATGCATTACCGGAAGTCAATATTAAACTGGTTGCCGTCTGCTTCAATTTGAAAGCTTACACTAGCACCAGCTGAACCTCTAGTGCATGTTATCATGACTCTATGGTCTCTTGAAAGACACGTTGAACGAGGTCTGCGATTGCGAAGGCACACTTCCGTCGCGAGGAACGTGACGTTTAGCGGCATTATTACCGTTAAGGTGGGACACTACCCAGAAAAAACAATTTCTGGAAAAAAAGCTGATTATGAAAAAATTACATATTCACATCCACCAACATCTAGAGAGTACTTCCAGAAAGCTTCATTAGTTCACACTGCATAGTTAATTTTTTATAAATTATTTTCGGTCCACCAATGCTAAAGAAAAGGTAGGGGTTGGAGCAATTTGAATCAGAGGTCGGCATTTTAGGTTGCCCTAACTCATTCTCACCCTCACAGCCACACTCACCTAAGCCCCTCACTCACCCTCACCCTAACAGCTACACTCACCCTCAACCCCTCACCCACCTTCACCCTCACAGCTACACTCACCCTCATCCTCACAGTCACGTTCAGCTCTTCACTCACCCTCACTGAACCTCACGCACTCATACCCCTCACGCGCTCATGGCCCTCATGCCACTCACGCACCCATGGCCCTCAAAGCCCTCACGTCACTCATGCCACTCACCGCCCTCACGCACTCATACCCCTCACGCGCTCATGGCCCTCACGCCACTCACACACCCATGGCCCTCACGCACTCATGCCACTCACCGCCTTCACGCACTCATACCCCTCACGCGCTCATGGCCCTCACGCCACTCACGCACCCATGGCCCTCACGCACTCATGCCACTCACCGCCCTCACGCACTCATACCCCTCACGCGCTCATGGCCCTCACGCCACTCATGCACCCATGGCCCTCATGTCACTCACCGCCCTCATACCCCTCACGCGCTCATGGCCCTCACGCCACTCACACACCCATGGCCCTCACGCACTCATGCCACTCACCGCCCTCATACCCCTCACGCGCTCATGGCCCTCACGCACCCATGGCCCTCATGGCCCTCACGTCACTCACGCACTCATACCCCTCATGCGCTCATGGCCCTCACGCCACTCACACATCCATGGCCCTCACGCACTCATGCCACTCACCGCCTTCACGCACTCATACCCCTTGCGCGCTCATGGCCCTCACGCCACTCACGCACCCATGGCCCTCACACACTCATGCCACTCACCGCCCTCATACCCCTCACGCGCTCATGGCCCTCACGCCACTCACGCACCCATGGCCCTCACGTCACTCATACCACTCACGCACTCATACCCCTCATGCGCTCATGGCCCTCACGCCACTCACACACCCATGGCCCTCACGCACTCATGCCACTCACCGCCTTCACGCACTCATACCCCTCGAGCGCTCATGGCCCTCACGCCACTCACGCACCCATGGCCCTCACACACTCATGCCACTCACCACCCTCACGCACTCATAGCCCTCACGTGCTCATGGCCCTCACGCCACTCATGCACCCATGGCCCTCACGCACTCATGGCCCTCACGCCACTCACGCACTCATGGCCCTCATGCCACTCACACACTCATACCCTTCACGCGCTCACGCCCATTACGCACTCATACCCCTCGCGCACTCATGGCCCTCACGCCACTCACCGGCCTCATGCCACTCACCGCCCTCATGCCCCTCACGTGCTCATGGCCCTCATGCCCCTCACGCACTCATGGCCCTCACTGCCCTCATGCCTCTCACGCACTCATGGCCCTCACGCCACTCACTGCCCTCACACCACTCACGCACTCACTGCCCTTACGCAATCATACCCCTCACGGCCCTCATGCCACTCACACACTCACCGCCCTCACGCGACTCGCACACTCACTGCCCTCACGCCCCGCGTGCACTCACCGCCCTCACGCCCCTCACATACTCACGGCCCTCACTCACCCTCACAAATTTTCCTGGTTCGGAAACTCACTCACCCTCACCTCACCTGTGAAGATGAGGGTGAGTGAGGGTGAGTGGGGGCCCTCATGAGTGAGGTTTGCCGAGGTATGCTTTGAATGCATTTTTCTCCATTCCACTTTTCGGCATAAATTTCACTTTAGAAAAACTATTGTTTTCCTATTACACAAGGGAGAATTATTCTTAGGTGGTTCTCAGGGAGAGAATTTTGTGAGGAACGTGCCTGGCTGGTTAGTCTTTCTATTTTAACATTCTTTTATGCTAAACAAACTACATCTGTAAAAAAGTGCAGACATGGAAAAAGTTTTTAATATTCTTATGGGGCTATACTCATGAAAAACAATGGAATATGCAAAATAACTAGCTGGGTATGTGCTATGGGTATTCCTATGACTATATTACACATAAAAATCACAAATTTTTATTTTACTTTAGAACAACAGTTTTTTAAAGCAAACACACTGACTTCCATATCATGACACTTGTAACAAGTTTCAAATTTGACATAGGACAAGGAAATGTGGCAGGGATGGTCTTACCACTCATATAAACTTCCACTGCAAATTTGATTGAAATCAAGCAAGCGGCACAGAAGTTGACTTTTCTGGGTAGTGTTCCCCCTTAAAAGGCCTCGACGTTCCGTCTATTTGGTGGACAACCACCGCCGACAATAAAACCGCTGGCTAGAGGGCGCAAGGTGCCACCCCATCTAAAAAGCTCAGCCGCGCACATTCGTCCACGCCATGAGCAGGAGGGAACCTCGGGGCGTACCTGGGGCCACGACGGGGTCCCGCATGAGCTCCTGGGTGATGGGGCAGTAGAACTCCTCAGGGAGGCTGCCGTCCTCCTCAGGCATGCTGCAGTGCCGCCACAGCGGGTTCTTCAGGCTCTGGATCTCCCGCAGCAGCTTGTTGCGCTGGCCCAGGGCCTCTGCGGGACAATGGCAGACATCCTTTTTAGCCCTCCCGCTTTTCTCGACTCGCAATGAGGCCATAGGGCTGAACTTCACCGAAAAGACGACTTGCTTTTGCTGCATGTAAGGCTCTGCTACTCCCACTACCAACCTGGCAGAATACTTTGTTAGAGACGATTATTTATTTATGCGCCGGCTGGTAAGAGCTTGTAAGTGACGCAAAAAAGACTTCATACTTTTGCCATTTTTCTGCCGCCATCCCGGCGCTACTATCCGGGTTAGTTAAGCGGCGGCTTCCCTCTAGTTACCAGTCAAGCTATGGTTCTTTGCAAAAATCAATAATTTTCGGATCGCCAGATTGTTTTGCTTAGTGCGCTTTTCCGGGAAAGAAAACAAATAAAGGCGCGGCAAAATAAAACGCGCGTGAGTCCACGCGTGTTCGATTTTCAATGTTTTTAATCTACATACCTATATGGAGAGGATCTAAAACAAAAATAGGCAGCTTAGAGAAAAAAGGCGGAATGAGCAACGCGATCCGAGCATGCGAGCCAAGGAGGAGTTTGCCATATCTTGCACCCGTCGAGCGCGCATGTTAGAGGCCGGTGCGAGTGGACCGCGTCACTTCAACTCGAGCGTCTTGTGGATAGTTTAGGAACTTGAGCTTTATTTTAACTTCTTTACACCCGGGGCTTGTGCAGTTTTCTTAAAAAGAAATGAAGACCCATACCTCCGGTGACGCCGATTGCATGCAAGTTGAAGGACGTTGGTATATCTTTGTTTTTCTGACCAAGTCAGTTAAGAGTTTGTTAACGTAGAATCTATTGCCCCGCAGTTTCAGGATTCAAGGAAGACCGTCAGACGAGCGTCAACGTTTGGCTGGCACTGGTGTCCTCACCTCACTGAGTGAGCTGAACACAACACTGGTGGCACATCTGTGGCCCACACCTTGGGAGAAGACCGACAGAAAATCTCGCAGGCTCGTTAAGGCATGCAGCTGCCAGCTCCAAGGTTCCACCGGTGAATTCTTAGCGAAAGTAGCCAAAGAAATGTACTGCCTTCCTTTTTCTGGGGAAAGAAAAAAAAGAAATGCTGGGCAGCACAAGTTTTATCATGAAACCAAAAATTTATACTATTGAATTTACCGATCTAGCATTTATTGAGAACCACAAGTAACCGTAACAAAATCTGTTGGTGATTGCAGGGAGGTTCACGGTTTGAGTGGTTTCCACTTCCGACTTTAAGTTGAACAGGCTTCCGCCATTTGAGGGTGGAGCGCAGGGTTGTCGAAATTGGCACAGGGAAGCCGCCGTTGATGCCAGGTTGGAGTAATGTATAATATTTCGATGGGCTGTGGGTTCTTGTACGTGAGATAGACGAAATGGTGCCTAAACGACAGACCTCTCGAGCTCGCGAGGGCAGCCAAGAACAGTTTTCCGAATTCTAAGATAGCTTAACATGTGCAAATATGCGGTAATTGTTTGCCTGATTGGGGGAAAACTGTAGTGTTGAGCAAAGAAAAAGTTTATGCAAAAAGAGTCTCGAAAGAAAGAATGAGAATTGAGACCACAGGCGATTGTATCAGTCAGCCAACGATAACATTAGATGGAAGTCTCGAAAGTTCTTGCCGTTTTAAATTTTTCTTTTAAAGCTTTCGTTGCCGGGTTTGTTGTCGCCTTCTCAGGCATCAGTGTGGGGGGCCTGTGCACGGATGCATGAGGGTGCACTTGGTTTGGACTTTGGGGAAGGATGCTTTGCTTTGACTTGTTTCCTGTACCATTGTTGCGTACAAGAGGAGGTCTGCACCATGCTGGAAGGTCCCAAAGACATCTGCCAAATCCGAGACGTGCGTGTGGTGTTGTGTATGAGATGAGGTAGTTGCCTTGAACTGAGGTCGTGACGAGTTGTACCGTGGTGGAAAGTCACAAAGACTGCGAATTCAGGGAGACGTGTGTGTGAAAGATGATATTGTATAAACGGTTGTGTCCATAAAGTGTGGGAGCTGTGTTTGAGAAGTTTTGTGTTTGTCCCCTTGTCTGCCGTCTCCGTTTTTTTTTTTTTTTTTTTTTCAAATGAATAGACAACTGTTTTTCTTAGTTAGGAATATTTAGTTAGCTCCCACTGTAGCTCTTTAACCCCATTTCAGCCAAGGTCACCATTGGCAAGGGTACTGCAATCATTAGAAGTGGGCCATCTTTCGGTGTAATTGAAAAAAAATAGCAAACTGAGTAAAAAATAGGGGGCAAGTTACCTTTCAAGATATTACGGTACTCCAAAAACATTACCATCCATAGAGCACAACTTTCAGCTCCTTCTGCGGTTACGTCTGTTTGTGCATTTCCTTCTCATAGACGTGTGTACGGTAGACGTTTTCTATATTATCAAGTTCGGCAAGGTTTGGTTGGCAACACATTTCCTACGTCGCTTAAATTTGGGGGAGAGAGGTGCTTGTGTTCTCAACGAATTATACTCCCGAAAAACGTGCGCTTTCACTTTGAACTAAATAGATGAGGGAGCTATAATTTCTACCTCACTTCCCCGCAATGACCCATCTTCTATTCTGAGGATTATTGTCATCCTAACTGCATGGGACTGTTTGGATGCCACAGGAGCCAGGCAAAAGGAAACCCCCTGCCAAAGCGCCACACGGCGCCACAACACCCACGTGTTGAATGTAGCATCGAATTCAGCAATGCCATCTATCGCTCCCTCCCCTCTCAGTTTTTCAGCATGGGATTGGGCGTCATTCTACTGAGGCTGAGAGAGTTCCTCGAGCTTATTTTCGGTTCCTTTCTCGTTTGCTAGACAAGCTTTATTATGTTGCTCCGATTACCTTGTACACAAAAAGGCACTCAATTTCGGAGTTGGAGGTTTTTCTTTCTGTCTCGTCAACGAATTGGCTCCAAGCAACATCGCCGTGCCAGCTTGAATGGAAATGTTTTACCAGCGTGTCATCTGACAAAAACTTTACTTCTAGAGGTGGAAGTAACTAGGAACTGGGGGTATTTTCCTTCACGCCCGACGACCGATAGAAAAAAGATCTGCCCCCTTCCGGCATTACTGTGGCAAAGGCAGCGGCAAAGCAGAACGTATCGTGCGCCGCTTGGCGGTGATGTCGCGTCCCCGAAAGGTAGCATCACAGAAGCCAGTGCTCCAGTTGGAGAGGAATGTTGCGTTGCACACCCCAGCTTTGACCCATTCACGCAGTACAGTTTCACCGTGTTCGACTCTGATATGAAGATTTGCGTCGACTTACGGCCATGAATCACTGAGACAGCCAAGCCCGACAACCAATTCAAGGAGTAGCTTGGCACGCGGCACACCGACCAAACAAGTGCCAGTTACTCTAGGTTCTATCACTTGGTCAGTCTTCCAAATCTACTCAATCTTGATCCAAAGTACCTTTAAATACCGCAACGTGTCTCTAATATGATTTATTATGACTTAGGCTTTCCGATGTGCTGTCTGCATTTAACGCCTTTGCATCGTGGATTTATTTTTTATTTTTTATTTTGTGGAAGCGACTTCCGCCGTGCATCAATGTCAAAGCCCTTTCGGTGTTTTTGGGTATGCGATGATCATCAACATCAAAGTAAAGGTTTTGCACCTTGGCGATCGAAAACTTATATGACCCGTGGGATTTGGGTTGACTTGAGTAATATTTCGAGCGCAGCCAGCGTAGTTAAATGACGTTGTGTGCCGCCCCAATTGTATGGGGGCCGGCGAAGCCCACTCACCGATCTTGAGTGCGGCGCTCAGGCTGTCGTGAGTGAGGTGCAGGAGCTCCTGACCGTTGATGCACTGCTCCTCGAACACCTGCCGGTGTTTTCCGAGCCCAGTCTTCTCCAGCCACTCGCACACTTCGGACACGGACCACTTGCCGACCGTGGCCACACGGGGCACTGCTGGCACCTGCAGAGCCATGCGCCTTCATTGTTGTCATCCTCACACTTAAAGGGCAACTCAGCTTCATTTTTGTCCGTGAAGAAACAATAAAGTCCTCTTCAGTATCACCTAGGAAGACCACGCGTCAAGTATTACGACTTAGTTCTGTCAAAATGTTTCTTAGATGGTCCGACAAACTATGGAACGCACCAAGTTGCCGAAATCGTCTGATTCTAGCGGACAAATTGAGGTACAATCAACGGTGCAGTCGAGGCTACGGTGCTGATGTATCCAACATTAAGGTAAACATCCTCGTTGTTTGTTTATAGTTCTCCGGGCAAGCATAACAGGTGACGTCGGCAGCGTTTCCTGTCGGCATTGGCCAATGCGACAAACAAGTCGTCTGCTTCTTGCGCAGGAGTTGCGGTGATGTCAGAATGACGCCGAGCTCCAATTGGCTTTGATTGAAAGGATAGTGGGTAGGCCTGAATGCTAGATGCTTTGAGGTCTACCCACTATTTTTTTTTCAATCAGCCAATAAAAGCTCGGCGTTCTAACGTCATCGCAACCCCTGCACAAAAAGCAGACGACTTGCTCTCTGCACTGCGATGGCTCCGCGGTGTCCATGTAATTGGCATAACGCATCTGCACAGCATGCTTCTTGGCTTTGGGAGCCGTCCGGCCGTCCCCCCATCTCTCGTGTCCCAACCGTTTTTGCCGTCTCGCCGGCTGTGATAAGTGTCTCTCAAAGTTTCATCAGTTTCGTTCACACTAAGTGCACAGACTGATGCTACAGTTGTGCAGACGTCGTCGGATATCATAAGCAACCGAACGTGGAGGAGACTGAGGTAAAGACGACACTTGCGCCTTGCACATGCCCGCCCCAACGGTGGCCCGCACTGATCCCGCCCTTCATCGCCTGATAGCCATATTTTGGCGGTTCCATCGAGGCCTGTTGCCTGACAAAGCCCAAGTTTCGGTTTCTGTCCATGTTTAAAGTAAGATTTCACAAAATAAATGCCATTCCTTGCCAAGCAAATAAAGTAGTGCATTTTAATGTAAAATCACTCATACTCTCCAAAATTTTCAGAATTGAGGGGAGGTGCCCTTTAATTGGCATCTTAAAGGGGCACCGAAGTGCTTTTTGGGATCCTCATTTTATTGTCATAACTCAATCTACAAGCTCTAAGCATCCTATAAAAACCCAAAATTACATTCATGCGCAGCAGATTTGGGTATTAAAAGAGTAATTAGAGATCTCGACACTTACCGTTGGTGCAGAACAACAGATGGTGCTACTGAACCTTGCTGAACATGGTTGAACGACGGACTGAGCTTGTCAACCACACACGAGCGATGGGTTCCCACGTGGACAAGTGGAATTGGTCGGCCGCTCGTCCACGTGAAAACCGATCGCTCGCAAGTGGCTGACAAGCGCCGTCCTTTGTTCATTTATATTCAGCAAGGTTCGGTAGCACCATCAGTCGTTCTGCGCCAACAGTAGGTGTCGGGATCCTTAATTACTTTTTACAGCGGAGCTGTTAAGGGCTAGTTTCCCCAGTTTCGTGTCCGGTACCAAACAAATGTAGACGCAAAACTACACAACACTCTGGACAGCTACCGCCATTAATGAGCGACAGCGGCAACCAGACAACCAATCTGGTTGCCACCGTCGCTCATAGATGGCGGCGACCTTTCCAGCCTTTCCGTCAAGGTGCGCGATGGTCCAGTGGTTGCCGTCGTGCCCGTCTCCCCCACGACATTCGAGAGAGACATTGAAGCATTTATGATGGACGTCTTCGGCGGGGTCATGCTCGGCGACGACACATCTGCAGTAGTGACGGGCGACTTTATTGCTGACATTGCATGCCAGGAAGGAAAGAGGTTCACTTCATTTATGCTCGAGCGCTTCGGGCTTGTGTGTGTGCGAACGAACCTACAGAGCCCACGAACATGGAAACGAACATGTATACGTAGACCTTGTCTTCATGAAGAATGTGCCTGCCGTCAGCGTACATTTTATGGTGGTGTACCACAGCGATCACAAGGCCATGGTCACTGTGGTTACGAAGTAAAGAACAACCCTGGATCGGTATATATATGTCTGATTCTTTAATTGTTCAAATAACCAATTATCCAATCACACCTTAACCCTTACATTTATAAATACTTCATTCTCACCATAATACAGCTTTGCTGGTCTTCCTTATTCACCAGAGTGGAAAGGCCGACAGTTTTTTATTACGCAAATCTGCCGCGCATGATCGTAATTTTGGGTATTTTAGGATGTTCGAGCTCATGGATTGAGTTACGGCAATGAAATGAGGATCTCAAAAAGCACTTCAGTGCCCCTTTAAGGCTGGATCCACGGAGTTCTTTTAACGAAGATGCGCAGTATTAACTAGGTCCTGGAAATCGCTAACTTTTCTTAGGGCACCTTCGGCGGTTTCTCTGCCGAAGAAAACGCAAAATTGTACTCTGTGGTGCTGCAAGCGGTTTCCGTGTCGGCGGCACTCGAGCACTCGCGACGGAAAAGCGGCGTGGTCGTGTCTTAGCCTGATCGCTGGCTTAATCGCTTGTACAATGTCGCTGTCCGAAAGCGGACCACAGACTGTGGCATGTTTGTTGGCATCGGTACATTCGATGGACAATTCATCCCGCAGGACTGGGTAATGCCTCCTACCAGGCTATGCTGTAATGCCTCCAACCAAGCTATGCAGCGCGTGCTGCCGCAACTTCTGTGGAAATGACACCACGATGCTCGTGTCTGCAGCCACGCTGGCTCGGTTTAGAGCGGTCTGGCCACTGAATTGGCTTGGCCGCCTGGTGGCTCATTCGGATGCCACGCTCCTTCCCGCTTTATTCCGACAGCGCATGTAGTAGTTTTAAAGTGATTGAGTGTGTACGGGTGCAGTTTCAGCTTCGTCAACTCCAAGAGTTGCCAGACTTCTCGAGCACATAAAGAAACCCCTTCAAATTAACCAGTCCCAAAAGTCAAACTTGGAAGTGGCGCACATTTTTTCCCTTTTCCCATAGATTCATACTAGTAATTCCTGGAAGTGCACCCCCACTTCGAACTAACCAAAATTCAGATAAAGTGACTGAATTATCGAGAGCCGACGGTAGTGGATATCGGAGTGTCGACTCTTCCGATTTCGATTTTTAACGCTTCTCAGAATTGAATTCGGAAGATGAAAGCTCATCGTCCGATAAAGAAGCTCGGTAAAGTACCTCCGGTTTGGAGTTTGAGTCCACCAGGTGGAAGAGGACACGCCAAAATTAAACCGAATGCAGCAATTCCACTCCCGCACCAAATGCTCCCGAGGCAATTTCCTGCGCCGTTTCGATAAAAAACCGCCATACCCGCACACGCAGAGAGCCAGGTCAGGTGATATAAGAGAGGCTGCCTATTGTTCCAGCGTTGCTCCCATTATAATGTCAGCTTAAGGGTGGACACAGTACAGTGGCTGTGGTGTCAACACAGTCAACCACTATCAACTTTCAATGGCAAGTTCAATGAAGAAATAAAATTGGGGCAGGTGCTTCTTTCTGAGGCAAAGCCAAGCCTTTCCCAGAACACGACTAAGCTGAAAGGCATAAATGAAAGGCTGCAAAAGCTTCAAGAGATGGGCTTTGATAGGTTCTTTGTGTTCAAGATAAACTGTGCGCACTCTTGCACCGACAGTTGTGTCAATTTTTCTTTATATGAGAAATATCTGTTCAGTAATTTCTCACATTGGATTTCTGAGAAACATATATTTTTCATAGGTAAGCCCACAAAGACCAACATTATAAAGTGGCTTGTACAGTCTACAAAAAGAAAAGCTTGCTCTGCATGCTCAAAAGTACTTCGGAAAGGTGCTCAAAAAGGCCTCCGAAGTTTATGTCTACACGCTCCAAGCACTCCAAAAGCCAGTTTTAGGTGCAACAAAGTGCTAAGAATTTTGTTTTCAGGTGTCCCAAAACTTGCTCCAAATCCCAATTTTGCAGTAGCATCGCCGCGAACTGAAGAAAGGCAACAGCTTTCTATTCCCAATATTTCAATTTTATGCTTCTCAACCTGGACAGCTTGCAAGCACCGATGTATTCCCGTAAGATAATAGAAAAAAAAACAAAAAAAACTGCGCACTGGCTCTTCCATTGTACTATCCCTTTTGAAAAAAAACAAAAAACCCAACTGTCGGAGCACATTTTTTTGGGAAAAAAGCCACCCAGAAAAAAGTTTGAAGAGCTTAGGCGAGGGCAACGGGCCCTCCTGCGAGGGCGACCGGAAGCTTCCGCGGCGCGAGGCTCGCTCACCTTGCCGGCGGCAGTCGCAGGCCTCCCGGTGCAGGCGCCGTCCCCATGGTGGTCCTGGGGTTCCCCGAGGCCCCAGACGGCCACGGCCCGGTCGTTGGAGCCCGTGGCCAGCAGGTCCCCCTCCGAGGAGAAGGCGCAGCAGGGCACGTAGCGGCTGTGCTTCTCCAGCCGCTGCACCAGCTCCCCAGAGCCCTGGGGGGAGGGCCGCCCACCTACAATCCACGTTGCTGCCGGCACGTCTCCCAGAGTCTCGCGACGGGTGCGACGCTAGCATGTGGCCACGCCAGTCTCAGAGTGGTGTTGAGCTTCAGTGTGTTTCCCGCTCGAGGGATCCACAACGACGAGGTTGTGCGCGGGCCCCGTCTTTTGGGACATATTGCCAGAATGCGACTCTGATCGGCATTTTTAATGTCCTACGCCGCTCAGGAGTCAGAACCACTAGATAAGCTAAGCTTACAGTATCTACACCCTATTCCCCGACCGTCTCGTCTCTGTTGGAGATGCCACAGTTGGCAATGGCACGGTCCTTACTGGTCTGAAACTTTGGGCAGTTTCTGTCCCAGTAAATTTGGTCACCACAAGTGGCAGTCAGGTAAGTGGAAACAATTAAAAGTGAAAAGAAATGAAAAAGATTTAAACGGGAAGAACCTCGAAAAAGTTTTACGCTTCTAAAACAGGTGTAGCATCGTGGCGTTTCCATTATTAAAGAAATAATACGGTAGGCTCGCGAATATTTAAACTCTGATATTTCATACTTCCGGTTATTTCAAGCAAATTTCAAAATTTTGGTTGTCCCACTATGTCTTTAAATTATTCGTAAGCCGCTTAATTAGTACCACATTTTCGTGTAATTCACACTTTTTGCTCACGCGACCCCGTTGAGTGCGCTTCTTTCCCAGCACCAGTGCATTGCAGAGAGGCAACACCCGCGGAGATTGCTTCCGCTAGAGCCGTATAAAGAGAGAGCTTGGCCATTCACTGGGAAGTACAGGAGGCAAATGAGGAGGCGCCATTGGCCGAAAGCGGGCTGAGCGTGTTCCAGGGTGTCTCCACAAATTTCAATATGGCCAACTAGAAGCCGCGAATAATACCCTGGCAGTGGTCGCGAGAAACCAAACGAACAAGTGCGTTGGAGTTATTCACGCGAAGTCTTGCGGTGTAACAAGCCTCGTTAATTTTGCTGAGGCCGCTCAAGTAGTCAAACAGTATCAGGAAGACATAGAATCAACAATTCCAACGCGAAAAAGAGAACGGGGGCTCGCACCGAGACCGACAACGTCGCATTTCAATGGTTTATGTAAGAAGACGAGCTTCTCGCCCACAATCCATCGCGTATGTGCAGTGCCGGTGGCATCCGCTGGGGGCGCTCCGGTTTGTTACAGCGGAGCTGTTAAGGGCCAGTTCCCCAAGGATCGTGTCTACCAGCAAACAAATGTCGACACAACACTCTCAACAGCTACCACCATCTACAAGCGACAGCAGCAACCAGACAACTGGCTTGCCGGTTGTCTGGTTGTCGCCGTCGCTCATAGATGGCGGCCATCTTTCCAGCCTTTCCATTCTGGCCGCCGACTTGCGGCCGGTCATTACTTCATTCCCACCATAGTAAAGCTTCGCTGGTCTTGCTTCTTCACCAGCGTGGAAAGGCTGAAGGTTTTCTGTAAACATGACTTGGTCTATACATGGCTCTGGCTTCCCCGGATGCTGCTTCTCTGCAGTGCACCGGTGCTTGGTGAGGAGCACACTCAACAGGGCTCTAGCAGGCACACAGGAGCTATAAAAACGGGCACCACGCAAAAGTTTTTAAAGCAACTTGCATGGACGCTGTGACATGGCGGCATGGCACAGATCCAAGTAACAGCATCCGTGGAAGTTGCTATGAAAACTGCCGCACGGTGACCGCTCCCACATTAGACAACTTCTTGGCCCAACGTACAAACTTAATTTTGTTTTGAGTTGTCATGTCCTGTCTAAAAGTCCACGATTAACAACATTTTTGAGGAATAAATAAACTTACGTCATTAATTCAAAAAATGTTTTATATGTGGGATACCTGCGCATGATCAGTAGGCCTATGTAAAGGAAATCATCAAATATCTGCTTTCTATCTGTAGCCACTCCTATGGCAAATCACAATTTTATCTCAAAACAAATTAAGATGAATTTCTGATAATTCAAACGTCTTGCAATTCAAACAAAATTCGTGGTTCCTGGAGTTTGAATTAGCGAGACTACTGTACGATCCCTAGGCATCAAATATAGATGACGTTTCCAATCACCCATTTCTTCTATGGGTCCATCAGGCTATATGAAAGAGTAGACGCATTCGGCGAATTCGTACACATTGGCTTCTCCGAACCCCCGTCCACACCCGTTAAGTGATCCGATTGGTTAATTTCTGGTGCCAATAGCGCACTTCCGTGTCGGAGAGACTCCTGAGGCCATTAGGTAACGAGAGGCTACCGAGGAGTTGCGGAGGATGGAGCAGGAGGGCGTGATGTGACCCGTGAAGACACCTAAATGGGCCGCACCAATCGTTCTAGTAGTGGATCAGGATGGTCATGTTCGCCTGTGCGGTGATTTCGAGATACAACATAACCGCTTATAGTGCAGGACCGGATATAACGCGGTTTTTTTAAACCACCGGTTCGCCTCCCATAGAACTCCATGTAATTACATACCGCTTAAAATGCAGGTGCGCAAAGGGAAATACCGGTTATAGTGCGGTTTCTGGAACAGCCCGCCGACCGCGCCAACGACCGTAGCAGCGAGAACACTTCCCTGTGCGACACTAGATAACGGCGCGAGCCGCAACAACACCCTCGCGGGGCAAGGAGGTTGCTCGAAGAAGCGGGGAGAAGCGAAGAGAGAGGCTTCAGTTGCCATAGCAACGGAGGGACGCACGCACGTGTCGTTCACGTGCGTGCGTCCCTCCGCTGCGTTGGAAAACAACCGCAACGAAAGACCAATCGCAGGTCGAGGAGAAGTGTTTGCGCGCGTTGCATGCCGATCGTGGGCCGGCTTCTTCTAGCCGCAAACATGGCGTCGGTTGTGATCGTCGTCGTAGACGGCGTGGTGGAAGCTCATCGTTCCGCGTAAAAACGCTATCTTTAACTGAATTTTCGTTGTGTGTCGCTATGATAACCCAGCACGTACTAGAAGGGAAGATCCACCTACTTGTGCGGCAATGTCGTGGCGGCGCCAGTGGCGCTCTCAAGACGGCAGAAACGCCCGTGTCGTTGTGTTTGTTTACTTCGACTACAGTGGTGCTTTCTAAGCATTTGTGTTTTCGAACATCGCCCGGATTTCTTATTTGGCGCATTTCATGCGTGTGCTCAAGTTGAAGGTATTACTGGCGCGTACCGTATGAAGAATGCGAATTTTCACGCGTTTTCATCATTGCAGAAAAGTGATTAGGGTTAGCAATCCTGAACGCTCGCAACGTCCGTCCGCAACCCGCGACGCCGTTAAAAAGCTGCGGTAGGCAAAAGTCGCTAATTTCTTTCAAAACGTGTGACACACTTGAGAGAGAAGTGTACTAGTCTGGTGAAATAAAGACTTTCCTCAAACCAAGCTTTATTTTTCATCTAACATAAAATAAATTCTTTTACAAAGGTAAGTTGTCTCATGGCATGTATTTTGGCCTGAAAAACTGATGTTTTGGTTATAACGCGGTACCGCTTATAGTGCGGATTTTTGCGACTCCCGCGACATACGTTATATGCGGTCTACACTGTAATGGTCAATCCTGCGACAGTGTTGGAGACGTACCTCAGCCTTCGCATGGAGGAATTGTTTGCGAGGCTAGCAGGGGGCGCCAAGTGTACAAAGCTCAGCCCGAGATGTGCGTGCCAGCAGGTCAAAGACCGTGGAAGCGGGGAAAGCTCAAGGCGTCTTGGACCAAAGACTCCTCCTCGTCCTTTCTCATAATAAAGACGTTTATTCTCTCTCTCTCTCAAGCCCCGACATATGCAACACGGCAGGACACAGCCAGGTGCCTGATCTCCCATCTTTGACATCAGAGTCTTCCCGCCCAGTAGCTGTGCATGAAGAACCACGGCAGCCGGGAGCAATGGAACCTGGGGAGTCTCTCTGGCATGTGCCTACCACCACCCCTCCCAGTAGGAGCATCAGAGTGCACCGACCAGTGCTGCACTACTCCCCCTAGCTACCCAGGTACTGCTGTCCTGTTGCATTTATATTTTCCTACGAGTTGTCGTTAATCTTTTCGTTGGGGGTGGCAAGACTGTGATCAGTTTCAGCGAGCAACAACATGAGGACGTCACCAGAAAGGTTCATAAAAGCGCGCACGTGACTGGGCCAGTCAGTGCGTCTTACGTCCTCATTGTGGCTCGCGTGTCTTCAGTCGGGCAATGTGCTTGATGCGAATCATCAAACTCTAGTGCTTCACTTTGTCCCTAGGATAAACTTTCCCATGGCATGACGAAAAGATTCCGGATCAAGAGATCTATAGTTTGTTGCTGGTCAAGAAACGAGGTCAAGCTGCTCTCGCAAAGCCTCTTTGCACTCTAGCAGAGTGGACATGAGAGAGGAGTGTCTCAACACACCGCAGCTTGGAGCAGGTGGACTGAAAGCTCGCCTACAATCTGAGCGGTTTCATGACCAGCTGGTACGCGGATTCCTAGCAAAACGTGCTTGGCTGGTCCGATAGCGTCTGAAAGCAATATCGTCTCATGGTTCCTTTGTGCAGTGACACGGGAAATATTCAGGGAGAACGTAAGAACACTGGTGAAGCCAGAACATTTTTTCTCAGGGGCACAGGAGCTGCACAAGGCCCAGCTGCATCACAGCACAGAGCTGTACAAAAGACCCACGTGCACCCCCATGAGCTTACCGCATCCCACAAGATGATGGTCTTGTCACCACCCCTGCAAAAGAACGGGGCGAGTAAGCACAACCAGACGTGTGGATATTTTCCAGCTTGCAGGCCATACCGACGGAAACACCCGACCAGTCAAAATAGCTATACTCGCTTTCACCTCAAGAAAAAAGTATGTTTTGCGCGCATTGTTTCTACGCCGCACAAAGTAGTTCTTACGAGACTTGGTTGTGGAAGCAAGAAGCAATGCTTCTGGCGTATGAAGTGTGTACGTGCTGATAATATAACATCTGCTTGATCTAAAATGTACAGACGGGGAAAAATGAAGTGCGAACAAAGTAGAGCGTGACTCGCGGTACAGGCTGCACCGCCTGGAAGCGAGCATAGGGGCAAGGGTGCGTGGCCTACTCCGATGTGTTTAGGCCCTTCAGTTGGCACTCCCCAAGCTTCAGCAGTGTGCCAAAAGCTATCACCGCTATCTTTGCTCGCTCAGCGCGTGTGGCACAAGGAAGCTCGCTGCTAGTAGCGGCTCGAGGACGTGCTGGCTGAGCGCGCGCTCTAGCTGCTACTAGCGGTGAGTTTCCGGCTGTCGGAGGGCAGGACAGCTGCCGCCAAGATGTACTTTGATAAGCCGAAACCAGAGTATGCGTCAGAATTGAAGGGTACCGTGGTAAAATGCTCGACATGCTTTATACTTGTCTAAAAAGGGTCGATATAGGGGTTATTGATAATGCCCAGTAAGATTCTAATTGAAACTATGGCCTTAAAATGAACAAATATAAAGTTGCTCTCTAAAAAACAAAAACAAAAATGATTTTTTCTAAACGTTAATCTTTTTTCTAAATAGGCTGTTGGGCAGACACCAACATGGCATACATTTTTTTTCTGTGCAATGCTCAGATTTTGCACGAGCGATTTGGCCTGCACTTTTTGAAACACTCTGTATATGAAATCACAGATAAATCTATCCCATATATCATTTCCATAAAAAGCCTCTACATCAACAGCAGATTGACAGAATAGCATTTGCACTCATTTTATGCATATATTTACTTCTACGTGGTGCAACACAGCTAGCATGAATAATTAATTGACTAATTTCTGTACTTTTTCCTTAGAATAAAAAGGATGTCATCAAAGCTACTTTTGTAGCGGAAAATGGTCACACAGAGCACTAACCGAATCAGTCAAATTAGGTTGCAGTTATAAAACAATGTCATATTCGCTCTAAGTGTTGCGCAATGTATGTTAGGACTACAACTTCGATACTAATATGTTCTCTGCTCATGCCATGCTTGCCTTTTCACTGACCTAGAATGCTCCAGGAGAAAGAGAGCAAGCCTGTGCTCCAGAGAAAATCGGGGGACACGAGATAGCATGGACAAAGCTCAGGCGTGTGAACGGAGGAGGCTCAAACTTTGTATTCCACTCCCGCTCAAGCACTAGCTCAGGAAACTTGTAAGTACACAGTGCGGCCATAAGGGCCAGCACATTTGGCACGCCTCGCAAACTTTGAATTCCAAATGTACATACCCGAAGCTGGGCATGCAAATGACATTTTGTAAGAAGTTTTATGGCTATTTTTTTAGACCTCGACTCAGACTTGGTGAAATATTAAAAATTGTGCAAAAATGGCGGCCATGTATTTTCTATGTCCTATACCAGCCTGTTTGTTTTCTGCTTACTGGTTTGCGAAGAACTCGCTCCCAGGTGGCTTGCTGAAGGCAAAAGCGCTGAGAATGCCATGTAGAGGCTGGAGACGAGCCTGATTATTGCACTAAGTAATAATTTCAACAAAAATATATGAACGATGACCACTTGGGATCAAGCTCGCGAATCAGTGTGCAGACGACAAACATTCGTTACAGGACACTGAAAGTGCGCGGCCGCCGTTTTTGCACTATTTTTAGTATTTCACCAGCTTTGAGTTGAGCACTAAAAAAAAATAGACATAAAACTTTGTTAAACAACGTTTGAATGCCTAGTTTCAGGTATGTACGATTAGAGCTAGTATTTTTCAAGGCGTGCCAAATGTGCTGGTCCTTACGGCCACACTCTGTACAAAGACAGACACAAAGGAGGGGACATGGACAAGCGCTACCACCAACTAGTTTAAAGTAGCGCTTGTCCGCATCTCCTTCTTCGGGTCTGTCACTGTTTGCACTTACATGTTTCCAGAGCAATATGCACCGACTAGCCAAACAACTAGTTGAGATTGATACGTGCAGCAATGTTAGTGCCACCAAGGCATACAATGCATACCAAGTTTATCTGTGCAACATTATTGGGAAGCAATGCACGATACATTATGCATTACTGCTGACTTTGCCACAACAGTGCGGAAACGCTGCAAATTTTTTCTGGTGGGATGATCGCTTCGCTGCATTTACTTCCCCCCTAACTGCATTCCCCTCACAGGGCAACACCATCCCCAGATCTCTCCACCTGGGGACAACATTCTCCCCACAGGGTAACACCGTTTCTGCATTCCCCAACCAGGAACACCATTTTCTTCAAAGGGAAACACCGTCTCCGCATTCCCCAACTGCGGACACCATTCCTTTAGCAAGGGAATACCGTTTACGCATTTCCCAACTGGTACACCATTCCCCTCAAAGGAGAATACTGTTGCTGCATTCCCCTATTGGGAACACCATTCCTTGACTGGGGGAATGGCGTCCCCAGTCCCCTCCTTGGACAAGTGGCAACAACTCAAGGACAACAACCATTCCCCGGGGTGTGAGATGGGCACTCACGAGGAGGCAAGCAGGTTCCCGTCGTGGGAGAAGCGGCAGCACATGACGCTGGCCGTGTGGCCCTCGAGCACGTAGTGGGGCGTCAGGGCGCAGCGCTGGCCCATCTGGACGCGCCAGACGCGAACCTTGTCGTCGTTGCCGCACGACGCCAGGATGTAGGTGCTGTGCAGCGTGCCCTGCGCCACTGCACCGGTCCAGCCGCCAATCAACTCCGGCGATTAGATGTGGCCCTCGGCTCATTGTCGGTTGGAGGGGGGGATTCCCCGCCAATTGCTGGGATAATTCTAAAATTGCCATGCTGTGTACTCTGCCCAGTTGTCGCGAGATGGCAATGCTATTTGACAGCATGTAACGTGCTCTAGCGCTGCACAGCCAAAGTGAAAGCATCATAGATGTGCCCCGGCAATAGGGTGGGGTAATTAAGGTGCTGTCTGGAAGATATAATTTGGGGATTTCTATTCAATTTGCATAAAAAGATAAAAAGAAATCGGTACACACAATGCAACAGACAAGCTTCATGGAAACAGAGTGTACTGGCAGGGTTCGAGAGTCACTGACAGTGGCGTCTGGGGAAACCAGTGCCCCGGATGGCACTACTGCCTGACGAGGAGCGAGCTACAGAGGGGGACAGACAGCCTGGCAAGCTGTCTGTCCCCCTCTGACGAGGAGCGGCCTGTGCGGAGAGCGTCTGCTTCTTGAGCAGGAGTTGCGGTGACGTCACGACAACACCAAGCTCTGATGGGCTTTGGTTGAAAGGAGAGTGGGTAGACCTTAATGGCACATGGCTCGAGGTGTACCCACTATTTCTTTCTATCAGCCAATTAGTGCTCGGCGTTCTGACATCAGCGCAACACCTGAGTGCAAGAAACAGACGAGCTTGCACTCCGCATAGAGCCGCTCCCACGCCGACGTCACCTTGACCGCCAAATTTACACATTCGAGGCGTGGTGGAGTAAGCAAAAACTGAAACTACAGCAAATGCACATTCTGCTGCAGCTTACTGAGGGAGGAAGCTGGAAACAAATTTCTCAGCCAGGCTGAAAATGGCTTTGCACACTGGCTTTCAAGTGCTACCCAATGTTGGTTACACCACTGAAAATAGGCGTATGTGTCTGGCTGGGGCAAGACTGATTAAAAGAACCCAACCAAGCCCCAAATTAAGGGCCCAACGTTTCGAGATCTCCTTGGCCTTTTTTTCGGGGTGACCGTAGCAATGGTCGATGAGGAGCAGTATTAATGCGAAAGCATTAACTGTTCCATAGAGCAAAGTCAGTGTTGTCTGTAGCAGAAAAATGGCACCCAAATTCCCACTGGCTGCGACGCGTCATGTGGCTACATAGCAATGGTGTCATCGTTGCTAAGGAGCCAGCCGAACCGCTGGTGGCGTAGTGGGAAGGGGAACATGGGTATGTGCTGGCTTGACGTTAGGCCTATCGTTACGCTTTGAGGTCTAACGTCGTCAACCGGTATGCGCAGCTGTTTGACGTGGGGGGGAGACGCGGGTATGCGCTGGCCTGATGTTAGGCCCGACGTTAGGCCTAACGTTACGCTTTGAGGTTTGACGTCAACCGGTACCTGCAGCTAGGGCGATGATGATGATGAGAGGACACGTAATTTCAGCCAGTGCCGCGCCGAGCTTTGCACTCTTGCTGCTGTTTCACCCAGTGGCGCAGCAGACACCAGCGAGCCAGGGCGGTCTACGCGGCGCACTGCCGCACTCCCTGTCCAGCGCTGTGGCCGCTTCTGCTCCTCTCGACGCCGAGAATGCTTTTGCATTCACAACTCATAAGTGCTTAGGCGTCCTCGGAATTTTTTTGTTTTTGTTTTCTTCCATGGTGCTGCATTTCTCTATAGGTTGGTGATATTGCAAAGCCCAATGACGTAGGAGGACGGTGTAGCGCTGAGGGACCTATCTATGTTTTCTGGCATAGTTTGAATCTGCAATAATTCTAAGAAAAGACTTTGTCGGTGGTTCGGGGTGACTTTGGCGATGGCTGCAGTCACCCCCACAATAAGGAAGATAGTCTCAAACCACTTAAAGAATTGAAGTTTGCCGAGAAACTATCTCTGTTTAACTTTAAGTCAAATTGTAGCCGATGCTAAAATTCAGTGAAGCTAACCAAGCAAATGTGCACTGTCACGGTCTCTGCACGTTTGCCATCGCTGAGCAAACCAATCAGCAATCATGCACAGCGATTGCCATGAAATCCTCCACTTCCTCCCGTACGTGGTCGGTTTATATAGACAAAGATAAGGGGTGTCCATGACAATGCACTTTTGAGGCCGCTTGGCTCAGTCCGTCCGATCGTAGCGTCGGTTGCGGTGCGACTAAACGGGCAGGGAGATCCAACCATGTCCAGCTAGTTTTCCCCGCAGCTCCGTGTTTACCCAACTCCAGGCACTCGATTCTTTACTTTATCTTTCTTGATTGGGCACGACTTTTACCGCGCTCAGTCGAAAAAGATAAAGTAAAAAGAATGCACCAGTGCCGCATCCGCATTCGGCTTCACTGATCCAGCCCGAGCACCGGCCAAACGCCGACGCAACAATTGGGTATGTGGGCCGAGCGCCGCATCAAAACGAAATCAAATAGTCTACGTCGTCATTGACCCGAGGGTGTATTTCTCGATTTAGCCACTAGGGGGCGCGACGGCTGCATCTTCTCCCCAATACTCAGTTCTCGGATATTTCTCCATAATGGTCTTTTGTATCGTATTATGGGACACGGGTCGTACGGGAAAAAACACGCCCTTGACCGGCACGTTCACCGCGTCGTTAAGTCTTGTCTCTCAATTTCTGCCTGATGCCACCGTAAAAGTGTCGTTCTGCTGCAGTTCTGCTGCTCGAGTCCATAGAAGCCTCGATAGCTAGGGGTCGAGACGCAGCGACGACACTAGCGTCTGCTGCCCCTTTTTTCCGCAACTTGCACGCCCATCCACCATCGTAATGGTCGGGCACTCGGGAAGCCGTCTGTTGCCACTTGGGACGTAACCCCCCCCCCCCCCCCCCCCGGAGTGTGTTTTGGCACTTACGGCTGGCCTCAAACTGCGGGCTGAAGTGGCAGCCCGTGACCCCCAGGTCGTGGGCCTCCGGCCGGGTGAGCAGGCAGCGGCCATGGCCGTAGCGGGCGTCCCACAGCTTGAGGTCGCCCCCCGTTGCCCCCGAGGCCAGGAACAGGCTGTCCGGGGAGAAGGCGCACGCAGACACCATGGCCTCGTGGCCCTCCAGGGACCTGGCGGGGGGGAAGGCCTCCTTTTTCACCTTTTGACGGTGGGACTCCAGCTCGTCTCAAATACCATGCAGCCTGCTCTGTTCCGCTGTAACCAGGTTCTGCTGGCTACCTTGGCTGGGTTTCACCAAGATATTATTTTTTCTCTCAATAAATTGGCTTTTTTAAGCACATTTTTTATCAGTTTTTACCCTGTTAAAGGAGCTGTGCAACAATTTCACTGCTTTGCTTAAAAAATTTGGGAGTTGGCATCTTGACCATTTTGAAGTGAAGAACAAAAGACAGCTTTTGCCTGCATGTCCATGTTTTTATTTTAAAAATTGACAAAGATTGAGGTTTTTGGCATTTCTCATCTCCTTCACCAACTTCCGAGTCACATGCACTCTGACGTGACTTGGAAGTTGGTGTCTTGACCATTTTGATGTGAAGAAGAAAAAACAGCTTTTGCCTGCATGTCCATGTTTTTATTTTAAAAATTGACAAAGATTGAGGTTTTTGGCATTTCTCATCTCCTTCACCAACTTCCGAGTCACATGCACTCTGACGTGACTTGGAAGTTGGTGTCTTGACCATTTTGACGTGAAGAAGAAAAAACAGCTTTTGCCTGCATGTCCATGTTTTTATTTTAAAAATTGACAAAGATTGAGGTTTTTGGCATTTCTCATCTCCTTCACCAACTTCCGAGTCACATGCACTCTGACGTGACTTGGAAGTTGGTGTCTTGACCATTTTGACGTGAAGAAGAAAAAACAGCTTTTGCCTGCATGTCCATGTTTTTATTTTAAAAATTGACAAAGATTGAGGTTTTTGGCATTTCTCATCTCCTTCACCAACTTCCGAGTCACATGCACTCTGACGTGACTTGGAAGTTGGTGTCTTGACCATTTTGACGTGAAGAAGAAAAAACAGCTTTTGCCTGCATGTCCATGTTTTTATTTTAAAAATTGACAAAGATTGAGGTTTTTGGCATTTCTCATCTCCTTCACCAACTTCCGAGTCACATGCACTCTGACGTGACTTGGAAGTTGGTGTTTTGGCCATTTTGAAGTGAAGAAGAAAAAACAGCTTTTGCCTGCATGTCCATGTTTTTATTTTAAAAATTGAAAAAGATTGAGGTTTTTGGCATTTCTCGTCTCTTTCACCAGCTTCCGAGTCACATGCACTCTGATGTGACTTGGGAGTTGGTGTCTTGAACATTTTGACGTGAAGAAAAAAAACAGCTTTTGCCTGCATGTCCATGGTTTTATTTTAAAAATTGACAAAGATTGAGGTTTTTGGCATTTCTCATCTCCTTCACCAACTTCCGAGTCACATGCACTCTGACGTGACTTGGAAGTTGGTGTTTTGACCATTTTGAAGTGAAGAAGAAAAAACAGCTTTTGCCTGCATGTCCATGTTTTTATTTTAAAATTGACAAAGATTGAGGTTTTTGGCATTTCTCATCTCCTTCACCAACTTCCGAGTCACATGCACTCTGACGTGACTTGGAAGTTGGTGTCTTGACCATTTTGACGTGAAGAAAAAAAACAGCTTTTGCCTGCATGTCCATGTTTTTATTTTAAAATTGACAAAGATTGAGGTTTTTGGCATTTCTCATCTCCTTCACAAACTTCCGAGTCACATGCACTCTGACGTGACTTGGAAGTTGGTGTTTTGACCATTTTGAAGTGAAGAAGAAAAAACAGCTTTTGCCTGCATGTCCATGTTTTTATTTTAAAAATTGACAAAGATTGAGGTTTTTGGCATTTCTCATCTCCTTCACCAACTTCCGAGTCACACGCACTGTGACGTGACTTGGAAGTTGGTGTTTTGACCATTTTGAAGTGAAGAAGAAAAAACAGCATTTGCCTGCATGTCCATGTTTTTATTTTAAAAATTGATAAAGATTGAGGTTTTTGGCATTTCTCATCTCCTTCACCAACTTCCGAGTCACATGCACTCTGACGTGACTTGGAAGTTGGTGTCTTGACCATTTTGACGTGAAGAAAAAAAACAGCTTTTGCCTGCATGTCCATGTTTTTATTTTAAAATTGACAAAGATTGAGGTTTTTGGCATTTCTCATCTCCTTCACAAACTTCCGAGTCACATGCACTCTGACGTGACTTGGAAGTTGGTGTTTTGACCATTTTGAAGTGAAGAAGAAAAAACAGCTTTTGCCTGCATGTCCATGTTTTTATTTTAAAAATTGACAAAGATTGAGGTTTTTGGCATTTCTCATCTCCTTCACCAACTTCCGAGTCACACGCACTCTGACGTGACTTGGAAGTTGGTGTTTTGACCATTTTGAAGTGAAGAAGAAAAAACAGCTTTTGCCTGCATGTCCATGTTTTTATTTTAAAAATTGATAAAGATTGAGGTTTTTGGCATTTCTCATCTCCTTCACCAACTTCCGAGTCACATGCACTCTGACGTGACTTGGAAGTTGGTGTCTTGACCATTTTGACGTGAAGAAAAAAAACAGCTTTTGCCTGCATGTCCATGTTTTTATTTTAAAAATTGACAAAGATTGAGGTTTTTGGCATTTCTCATCTCCTTCACCAACTTCCGAGTCACATGCACTCTGACGTGACTTGGAAGTTGGTGTCTTGACCATTTTGACGTGAAGAAGAAAAAACAGCTTTTGCCTGCATGTCCATGTTTTTATTTTAAAAATTGACAAAGATTGAGGTTTTTGGCATTTCTCATCTCCTTCACCAACTTCCGAGTCACATGCACTCTGACGTGACTTGGAAGTTGGTGTTTTGGCCATTTTGAAGTGAAGAAGAAAAAACAGCTTTTGCCTGCATGTCCATGTTTTTATTTTAAAAATTGAAAAAGATTGAGGTTTTTGGCATTTCTCGTCTCTTTCACCAGCTTCCGAGTCACATGCACTCTGATGTGACTTGGGAGTTGGTGTCTTGAACATTTTGACGTGAAGAAAAAAAACAGCTTTTGCCTGCATGTCCATGGTTTTATTTTAAAAATTGACAAAGATTGAGGTTTTTGGCATTTCTCATCTCCTTCACCAACTTCCGAGTCACATGCACTCTGACGTGACTTGGAAGTTGGTGTTTTGACCATTTTGAAGTGAAGAAGAAAAAACAGCTTTTGCCTGCATGTCCATGTTTTTATTTTAAAATTGACAAAGATTGAGGTTTTTGGCATTTCTCATCTCCTTCACCAACTTCCGAGTCACATGCACTCTGACGTGACTTGGAAGTTGGTGTCTTGACCATTTTGACGTGAAGAAAAAAAACAGCTTTTGCCTGCATGTCCATGTTTTTATTTTAAAATTGACAAAGATTGAGGTTTTTGGCATTTCTCATCTCCTTCACAAACTTCCGAGTCACATGCACTCTGACGTGACTTGGAAGTTGGTGTTTTGACCATTTTGAAGTGAAGAAGAAAAAACAGCTTTTGCCTGCATGTCCATGTTTTTATTTTAAAAATTGACAAAGATTGAGGTTTTTGGCATTTCTCATCTCCTTCACCAACTTCCGAGTCACACGCACTGTGACGTGACTTGGAAGTTGGTGTTTTGACCATTTTGAAGTGAAGAAGAAAAAACAGCATTTGCCTGCATGTCCATGTTTTTATTTTAAAAATTGATAAAGATTGAGGTTTTTGGCATTTCTCATCTCCTTCACCAACTTCCGAGTCACATGCACTCTGACGTGACTTGGAAGTTGGTGTCTTGACCATTTTGACGTGAAGAAAAAAAACAGCTTTTGCCTGCATGTCCATGTTTTTATTTTAAAATTGACAAAGATTGAGGTTTTTGGCATTTCTCATCTCCTTCACAAACTTCCGAGTCACATGCACTCTGACGTGACTTGGAAGTTGGTGTTTTGACCATTTTGAAGTGAAGAAGAAAAAACAGCTTTTGCCTGCATGTCCATGTTTTTATTTTAAAAATTGACAAAGATTGAGGTTTTTGGCATTTCTCATCTCCTTCACCAACTTCCGAGTCACACGCACTCCGACGTGACTTGGAAGTTGGTGTTTTGACCATTTTGAAGTGAAGAAGAAAAAACAGCTTTTGCCTGCATGTCCATGTTTTTATTTTAAAAATTGATAAAGATTGAGGTTTTTGGCATTTCTCATCTCCTTCACCAACTTCCGAGTCACATGCACTCTGACGTGACTTGGAAGTTGGTGTCTTGACCATTTTGACGTGAAGAAAAAAAACAGCTTTTGCCTGCATGTCCATGGTTTTATTTTAAAAATTGACAAAGATTGAGGTTTTTGGCATTTCTCATCTCCTTCACCAACTTCCGAGTCACATGCACTCTGACGTGACTTGGAAGTTGGTGTTTTGACCATTTTGAAGTGAAGAAGAAAAAACAGCTTTTGCCTGCATGTCCATGTTTTTATTTTAAAAATTGACAAAGATTGAGGTTTTTGGCATTTCTCGTCTCCTTCACCAGCTTCCGAGTCACGTGCACTCTGACGTGACATGGGAGTTGGTGCCTTGAACATTTTGAAGTGAAGAAGAACAAACAGCTTTTGCCTGCATGTCCATGTTTTTATTTTAAAAATTGACAAAGATTTAGGTTTTTGGCATTTCTCATCTCCTTCACCAACTTTCGAGTCACGTGCACTCTGACGAGAAAGAGGGACGTGTGGGGTTCCGGAGAAGTGTTCTCTCTAGCGCCATCAGTGAGCAGCGAGAGCTCACCCGCTCGTGGCCATGTGACCACGTGCTTGCGCGGCACAATCAATATGGCGAGAGGGGGAAAGTCTCGTCCGGGTCCGGCTATCCCGTCCCCCTCCGGCTTCTGGCGGCTCTTTGCGGCAGCAGATTGAGCTCACGGTTTTGTTGACCTCTAATAGATGGCGCCACTAAAACTCCATATAGGGTGGTTTCATTTGAAATCAAACACGCTTGTCAGGGTGGGTATTTCGATTAAAAAAAATGTATATATGTGATTGCCCCTTTTCTGCAAAAAAGAAAACCGCTTTTTAAAATTAAAAAAAAAAATACTTTGCTTCACGGAAAAATGTTAAGTGTTTTTCTGTTTTT